TATATATATATATGTGTTACAAGACAATTACTTGAGGATATAAACTAATTTGTCTTCTGAAATAAATGGATAATACAGATGCATAAAAATAGCTGTACATGAGTTTCTTTATAGGGCAGTGCAACAAAAAATACCAAATGCAATTATTCTTTTTTTTAAAGAATAGCATTTTTAAATGCTATTATTTAAATGAAATAATTTAAACTCTTGTTATTTCTGCAAAAGGAATGGCCACGTATGAGTAGAACTGTATGATGAAGTCCACAATGTTTTATGATTTCAGTCTCTTATTCAGTGCCTCATTGTGTCCTTTTCAGTCCCAGAAAATGAAGTTGAAAAGAATCAAAATATCCGTTTAATTTTGATCGTGTTTTTTGTGTTCCTGGGAGCTTTCACAGCACTGACCATTATTCTGCGAGTTATACGCAGAAAGACCTGTAAGCCCATCATGAACAAAGGTATATTGCTGCAAGACTTTTGATAGAAAAATGTAGACAGTTTTGTCCAAATTATAATACATTGCTTCAAATGTTAGCACTTTAATAGAAGTGTCATAATCATAGGGCATACATTTTTAGTTTACTGTACTTGATGTTATGTATGGCTTTATTTCAACAAATATATTATTTCATTTAATAATAATGTCTAAATATGCTTAAGCTAGCAGTCATTGTTTTTATAGTGACATTAATTGTGTGGGAAACAAATTCTTATGAAGTCAATGAAATGTCACACAGTGATAGGTCAAGAACAAAAGACTGACAGTGAGAGAGGCTCGAATGTCACAGAGCAATCTGAAGATACGGATGAAGCTACAACTGATTTGCCCGATGGATTGAACCTGCATCACTACAACTCCAACCTGCCTCTTCCCTCCACTGAGGAAGGCACTACATTGCTGGTTACCACAAAGACAGTGCAAGCTTACCACTATACACCTGTTATATAGAGAGGAGATCACTGGAACCTCCATAACACTGCACATCATCAGGTGAAGGATGATAGCGAGCATCGTCTCACCATTACTCTGTCCAGACTGGATAAAACTGTCATGACTGCTGGATGCACTAATAATGGACACAGGACTTGAATGTGAACACAGGATGGTATCTGACTGTCAGAAGTGATCATCTCAATGTTATTTAGATGTAAGAATTATCTGCGATAATAGTATTGATAAAATATTCGAAACAATTTTCACCATACTTTGTCCAAAAGGTCACTCTTACACATTTTTTTAACAATGCAAACCCAGTACACATTTATGCTGTATCTTTGTTAAATTAAAATGTGTTACTTCAATTATGAAGTCTTACAGTTTGTAAATATACCATTGCATGCCATTTATGTAATACATTCTTAAAAGGATAGTTCACCCATTTTTAATTTGTTTTCTCTCCAATGTATGACATTTTATCCCCCCAAATTGATCTGTTAGGCACAATGATACTCTCAGTCAACATTTACTGTCACTGTACGAAAAAATGAATGTGAAGGTGACGGAAGTTGTCGGTTCCCAACATTCTGCCAAACATTTCCTTTTGTGTTTCTCATAAGAAATAAAGTCATACAGGTTTGGAACGACACGAGGATGAGTAAACGAAGACATGTTTGTGTGAACTGTCCCATTAAATCAGACTTTCAGAATCCACTGACGTATATTCAACTTCAAAATAGTTTTCTTTATAATTGTTTGAATTATTTATTAGCCTATTTAGGTATGACCCACGTGACAATGTTGCTGTCACGTGAAACCAGGGCAATGTCATGTGACTGACACGAGCGCCGTACAGTGGCATTAGCGAGCTCTCGTTAGCACAACGATACAGTTTGCTCATGCTAAACAGTAAACCCTTACGATACGTTACTTCATAAACAGAATATTCATAGTTGTGATGCATTAAACGGCTTTAAAAAACTGCTAGTGTTGTCTAAGCTAGGCCATGTTTGTACTGTAACGTCTAACTGCTCTGCAAGTGAAACTATGGAGAACGACCCAAAATGTAAACAGTGTTGTTAAACATCTTTTGGCATTAATCTGATACTTCTGGGGACCTACACAACCGGGATTCATGTCGCTTACTAAACCGTTTCATCTGGAATTTCAGAATGAACGGTGAGTTGTAAATCTGAGGTGATGGATTCATGCTGTTACTTTGTTTATTTGTATATAGCACATTTATTGTTATCTAAATTGTTTGTGAGGCAGCCAGAGGTTTCAGAACATTCAGTCTGTGTCACGGTAGTCTGAAAATGCAGATCCTAAAATGTCATACTTATTTAAAGAGCTAAATGACAAGACCATTTAAAATGGAATAAAATAGAGTAAACTTGAAATTAAATTTTGATTACTTCGAAGTGTAAATCTGATCGGTCTGTCTACATATCTCCATATCTACAGTAGCTGCAACAACTTCTTAATTTCTTTATCTGTTGTTTGGACAGGTCATGTCAAGTGTTACTATGTTAAAAATCAAAGTGCATGAAATGAATTACAGTATGAATAACATTATGCTAAAAGATTGACTGCATATATATATATATATATATAAATGTATCTCTCTCTCTCTCTCTCTCTCTTTCTCTCTATGTATATGTATATATAATTGTGGGTCTATGAAGAAGAAATAGATCAGTATATTCAAACTGACAGTGCCTACACCATTAAAAACAGCTTGTGCTTTTCTATGCAGTAAATCGTTTACCATATTGTTAATCATTGTTGTTCATTTCATGCTCTGTGGTCTTTGTGTTTATTTTAAGTGTTTTTATGCTGGTAAATTCAGCCAGTCATATTTCAGGACACTGTACCTTACAGGCGCGCAGCAAAATGATCTGAAAAGGCAAAACCTGTTAGAGAGACTTCTTGATGCAGTTAAACAGGTAAGGTGACATTGAGTTGTTTCATTGACTCTATGATAATTAATTTTTTTCCAGTGTTAACCCAAAACATTTCCTCTTTGACAAATGCTGGCTTGGAACGAGGAGAGAAGTGGTTTATATGCTTTTCAGTAGCTAATTATAACACTAGAGATACCAGGACGACTGGTGTATTAGTACTATATATATATATATATATATATATCACATGATTTATGACATCAATTTTTAAAATTATTAAATACATTTTACTTTTATTAGTGTTATATTATTGTCCAAATGTACAAATATCTGTTAATCAGCTGATGTTTTGGCTTAGAAAAAAATATAAATCCTAATGATAAACAACTGTTTTGCCTTTTGTTTGTGACTATTTTGCCTTTGCCTTTTTATGAACAAACACTCCAGTGCTACATAATGCCATGTTGAGCCATGCCATTTAATTTTGAGTGCAGAAAACTGTTTATGTTTCTCCCGCTTACCAGCTGTTGTATTTAGTAAGTGAATTTAGTACCAATGGTCGATCAGGTTATTAAATATTAATATTTATCTAGGTGCCCATTAAGCTACTGCAGGGGTCTGTGAAGAAGATGTATAATAAAAATGACATTTTCAACTGTTTGAATAATTTGTATTTTGAAATATAATAATGTTAGTTAAGGACCGAACATGATTTTTTAAAAATAAATTATCTTCTCCTCAGTGCCAAATTCGCTTTGGTGGCAGGAAGGAGATTGCCTCGGATTCTGATAGCAGGTGCCATAAAAAGATTACCTATTTATTTAGAAATCTGAATAAAATAAATGGTTTGATACGATTAGGCCAACATTATGTGCTTTAATTAAATGATAATTTTTTCCCTCTTTTGGTCTTTGTAGAGTCATATGCCTGTGTGCCCAGTTTGAAGCGGTACTTCAACATGGCTTGAGGAAAAGCCGCGGTTTAGCCCTCACAGCAGCTGCCATTAAACATGCTGCTGGATTTAGCAGTAAAACTGAAGCAGGTACTGTATCTGATTCCATCAAATAATGGCCATCCAGACCTTACTTTCTGTCACTCATCTTTTGCCAACCATATTAATTGATGTATGATCTTCAGAAAGAACATGCTGAAAAGAAGTGTTTTTCCAAGCTTTTACTCACTGAGCTCTTGAGAGACATTGCCAGAGAGATTTCCCTAGTAACAAAGAACACACGTGGTGTTTTGGGTTGTCCATAGAGGAAACAGATGCTCATAAGTGATCACGCAGGAAAACCAGGTGCTGATACTGTTTATGAAACCAGATGGTTATGCAACAAGCCTTGTAAAAATGGCAAAAAAGAGAAACAAGGTTTTTCTGAGGTTAGTCTTTGCACCTGCTGTGGTTTTGAGCTGTTTAAAATTAACAGCAGAACTAAGAGTGATACTATGAATCAATGCTGAGTACTTTTAGCTTTTGTAGAGTAGAAAGTTGATTGTCACTCAGAAAGTAGTGGGGATTTTGAGTGATGTTCATTAAGCTTGAGTTTCTATTGTAAATAATGTACTTGATGAACTCTGCTCGAAACTAAAGCCCTTAACATACATGATAAAATTCATAGCTGAATGAGTTCACATGCGTATCTGTTGTGCTAAGTTTTATCTTGCAGATGTTTTTGTGTATATGAGTGAAAGATGAGACATCTGCACAAGGTGTCCGCATCAAACTAAATTAAAAAAAGTGTTTTTATATAAATAGAAAGCATGTTAAATGCTAGTAAAGTGTCTTCTTTAATGTTTCAAATAACTTTTGTGAAAATAAAAAGTCAGTTCCATCGTCATTCAGCGTAACAGATATGTTTATGTAAAAATGAAACGGCATACTTATTGTGACCTATATTTAAAATATATATCAAAGAAAAAGTGATTACACTAAATTTTATTATATTTTACATGCTTGAAATCTTGGTGACAAATAGGTAAAACCTAGTGGTTTGAAGGATAGTGGCATTGATTGGTAAATATTTAAAATCACCATTAATTAGTTTTTAGTTTTAGAGTCTTTTAATGATTCTCCTTGTAAAAATGCCTGACAACATTTTTAGTATATGAACTATTGTTGCACTCAATTACATTTTAGTGGGTTTCTTCTGTAAATCATGGTAAAAATATATGATAGTCATTATTTTTTGCTCAGAAAAAATGAAATTAAACAGGATACATTGTAATGTACGGAAAAAAGAACAAAATTTAAAACTATTAAACTTCTATTGTTCTGATGCTTGAAAATGACTGTCTATATATATGATTTTTTTAAATAAAAAAAATAAACTATTACTTTTATTAAGGATGCATGAAATTGATCAAAAGTGACAGTAAAGCCATTTATAATGTTTAATATTTCTGAAAATTTATAATGTTTAAGATTTCTGTTTTAAATAAATGCTGTTTATTTTCTTTTTTCAACACTGATAATAATAAAAAAATGTTTTAGTAACACTTTACTTAAAGCCTTTATGTATAAGTCATTATAAAGGGTTATCAAAGGATATAATGCATTATAATTATTCATAATGTGCATTGTAATGAGTTATATCTTGTCGTAAATAATTATAACCGAATTTAAAACGCAAAGAGTAACAATGAATTGATAAGCGTTATAATGTATTAACTGTGGTTACAATTATTCATGGCAATGTACTATGCATTATAAGGTGTATTACAAGGCATAATTGATGCATTAAAACTACTTTTATAATGCTATTATAATAGCCTACTATATAATAGCCTAATATATATAAATGTAAGTACCAGCCGGTCTGCGAGAATATTTTCCAAACAAAACCGGTCCGTGGTGTAAAAAAGGTTGGAGTGTTACCAATGTTTCTTGGGCCCCAAATCTGCATATTGGAAAGATTTCTTAAGGATCACGTGACTGGAGTAATGGCTGCTTAAAATTCAGCTTTGCAATTACAGGAGTGAATAATATAGAACACAGTTATTTAAAACTGTAATAATATTTCACCGGATTACAGTTTTTACTGTATTTTTGATCAAATAAATGCCTTGGTGAAAATAAAATAATATTTTTGTGAAAATGGTCACATCTGAACCCACAACCTTTGGTTTCCAGCCCAGATATTTAACCACAAGGCTGCAGCAACCTGTATCCTGCAATACCTAAATGTCACAGAGCCCAGAAAAGTATGACTTCCTGAGCCCTATGTGACCCATTTGAAGAAGTGTTACATACAGACAGCTGACCAAGCAAAATGCACCATTGTTTTAATCCAGCAACAGATAAAAAAAATCCAAAATTTTCAGAGGGATGTAAATACAGAACTAAAAACTTCTGTTTCAAATAATCGTAGAACTTTGTGTTGGGATTTTATTTCCTAAATTCTGGTTGACAAAATTACCTCCTTTTATACAACTTCTATCTGTCAGAATTTTCTGTTATGAGGAACTGAGAACATTAACATGCTGGTTCATACAGAGGTCTATTGTGTGTTGCAGAGCTGACGTTCTGGTTTTATGTGAAGGAGCACCTCAACCGTCATGAGTTGCAGCGCTTCTACTCTATGCAGAATATCACATCTGAGCAGGGCCGGGGCCGGGCATGGCTTCGTTGTGCCCTGAACGAACACTCGCTCGAGCGCTATCTTCACATGGTTCTGGCAGACCATGCACGCCTTAGGTACAGACACCCATGATTCACTGTTGTGGATGTCTTCTGTTGTCTTTCATTGTTGTTTTTCTCTACATATCAGTAAGACTCTAACTTATTGAAGGTTCTTTGGTAATTTCTTTAATCTGCCCCATATTTAGTGCCTTCTATGAAGACTGGGCTTTTGTCCTGGATGAGGAGAGAGCCAGTATGTTGCCCACCATGGCTGCAGGTAATATTTAAGTGAGGTATTTGCCAATTGCTGTTTTGTAGTCGTATTATAATGTGTAGCTATGCATCCTTCCCTGTGCAAGTCTGAATTCAGTTTATGTGTCAATAGGGCTCAATTCCATATTGTTTGCCATCAACATCGACAACACGGACCTAAATGGCCTGGACCGCGGAGGGTCGTCTGTGTCCCACTTGCTTAAGGAGTCCACACAGGGCATGAGCAGTTTGTGGAAAGAGTCTACTCAAGGTGTCAGCACTCTTCTGCGGGAAATCGGTACCGCCACTGCGGTGGTTCCTGGTTTCATCCCTCGCTCGTATGCTCCATCAGACCCACTGCCTATCCTGCCCCGCAGCACTTCTGCAGGTACTTGTCACATACCATAACAGAAATCCACATGAACTGTCAGAAATATGTGCAAACATTGTACTTTTAGGAGTACAACTTGTCACTGTGGTAGCAACCCCTGAAGGGACAACTTTGTACCTTATCTACACCTAAAAGGTGCATATTTGTATTGTAGAGTAGTAATATGTACCCTTAAGGCTCTGATATACTCGCAGCAAAATTCTTTTTCATTCTCTGCTTGGGGGTAAAAAGAAGTTATACCTGAAGTACCTGAGCAGCGCTATTCTGTTACTGAATATAGACAAATATGTAAATATGTGCTCACGCTTTCCTCTCAATTACAAAATAAACACAAATGACAGCAGTTAGAAAAGAGCGGTTAAGAAAGCATCTGATCATAGCGAAGTGGATATGTTTGCATAAGCTCTACAATTCGGCACTTTTATTTATATAGTCATTTTATTTATATTTAAAAATTTATTTATATAGTCATTTTATTTATTTATTTATATCGTCATTTTTATTTATATAGCACTTTATACAATAGATTCCTTCAAAGCAAGTGACTTTACAGTATTAAACATGAAAAAAAAAACAGTGTCAGTGTCGCATTCAATTACAATTAAAGCTTCAGTTTCTACTATTATTAAATTCAAGGCATTAATGTTTGCCTAAAAAAACACCACTGGCTCTGCACCCATTTACCTTAATTCATTACTTCAGAGTTATGTGCCCTCTAGAAGCTTGCGTTCTGCAAGTGAACGGCGTATTATTGTGCCATCTCAAAGAGGCACAAAATCACTTTCACTGACTTTTTCATTAACTGTTCCCTCCTGGTGGAATGACCTGCCCAAATCAATCCAAGCAGCTGAGTCCTTAACCATCTTCAAAAAACGACTAAAAACACATCTGTTCCACATTTATTTGACCCTCTAACTCTAACACTGTCTATTCTATTTTAATTCTACTTCATCTATATTTATCTTCTTTTTTTATTTTTACTTAGGACCATGTTATATTTCAGTTTTTCTTTTTTAATAAATCTGCAAAGATGTCAACAATTCTGTGTTTTTCTGTCAATATGGGGTGCTGTGTGTACATTAATGAGGAAAAAAAATTAACTTAAATGATTTTAGCAAATGGCTGCAATATAACAAAGAGTGAAAAATTTAAGGGGGTCTGAATACTTTCCGTACCCACTGTATATATATATATATATATATACACACCTTGCTACGTATACACCTTGCTACTGCGTTAGGCTAACCGAGACTTGTCATTTGCACTTATATATTGTTGCTTTTTTGTTAGTTTTGACTGCTTTTATTGTCCTCATTTGTAAGTCGCTTTGGATAAAAGCGTCTGCTAAATGACTAAATGTAAATGTAAATGTACTATGAAGCAGCTCTCCAGTGTATTCATGTTTTTACTCGCGTCTGATCTCGATGGACTGAAGAAATTAACCGGAGAAGATTTCTACGTCAAAGGAGGAGGAGCCCCAGAACACACCTACCTATTACATAATCCTCAGGAATAAATGGTAGTTCGAAGGTGTTTACTAATCAGAGCAAACTTTTCGGGAAAGTTTGCTTTTAACAAGCTGTTTAGGACTCCCAAAACAATCTCCAAATGAACTTGTTTTGGACTGATTTTATTTGAAATGATGCCACAACAGTTTATTTTCCGATTTCGCTTTTCGATTAAGGCCTTGATGTATGATTATGAACCTTTTAAGGGTAATTACAGTACCAAGATGTCCCTTTAAAAGTATTGCCTCACTTACAGGTTGTTAATTTTTTTCTGAATATGTGTTTATTTCCTGTTTTTTTTTCTTCTCTTTTTTTCCACTAATAAATGTTGTTGTAGTGTTATATTGCTATTGATAATTGAGATTCAGGCATCATTTAGTCACCCTCATATTATTCTTTTTACTTGCATTTTAGATTCCGGCTTAAGAAAAGAGCGCAGACGTAAAAAGAAGATCACAAACATCATCTCCTTTGATGATGACTTGGACGCGGGTGCGGAAGATGAGGACGAGGCTGGTGAGGACGTTGTGAGGAGCCTCAGGAAGAGTACGGTGGGTCATGTGAGTTCTGAGGAGGCTCTGGACCCTCCGGACTCCACCTCTCCTGTTCATAACGGCCTGACTGAGCCTGGGATTGTGAGCTGGGCTGAAACACCCCCGCAGAACGGAGTATTGCCTGATACCAAGAGCATTGACAATGATGAGGAGGAAGAGGACGATATTTATGGAAAGAGCAGGTCAGAGCCCCCAGAAGAGGGTCATGGGAATGGGGAGCAGTGAGTTTACTTGACGTTTTGGTTTATTTGTTGCATTAATCAAAACCAGTATGTAGTGAGACTTGAATTGAATGGACTTAAATTGACAATTAAAAACAGATATATTAATGAACTATTAACTTTATAATAGCTCTTGTTACACTTGTCACATGTACACTAATGTTCAAAAGTTTGGGGTCAGTATATTTTTTTTATATTATAAGTTATAAGTTATTATATTATAAGTTAATTTTAATCAAAAGTGACAGCAAATACATTTGTAAAGATGCATAGAAATTGTATTTCAAATAAAAACTTTATATGCATCAGAGAAACCTGTATAAGAATGTGTCACGGTTTCCAAAAAAATATTAAGTAGCACAACTGTTCCTCACTGTTTTCACCATATCAGAATATTAGAATGATTTCTGAAAGATCATGTGAAACTGAAGACTGAAGTAATGGCTGCTGGAAATTCAGCTTTGCCATCACAGGAATAAGTTACATTTTAAGATGCATTAAAATAGTATCGTTATTTTAAACAGTTGTTGTATTACAATAATATTTCAAAATATGAATGTTTTACTGTATTTCTGAACAAATAAATGCAGCCTTGGTGAGCATATGTGACTTCTTTTTTACCTACCCCAAACTTTTGAATGATAGCTTATTTACTATAGTAGTAACTATAAAAGCAGCTAACATAAACCAAACCCTATAGTAAATACATGCTGTTAATTAATATTACTTGTAATCTACTTGTGGAATTACATTGTAATAAAGACACATTAAAATAAAGTGTGACCATAAGATTCTGCTCTGCATAGGATGGTTGTGGGGAGTTTATCCAGTGTTTCCACATGGAGTCCAAGGCAAATCATCACTGACAATGACAGCTCGCACATTCTCATACCTCTGGCCCCCAGTGAGCCCTACACACAACAAGGTCAGACCCACAGGCTGTCAGACAATGTCCTCATTCAGGGACATCTTGCTATGTTTTCACAATCTTGTCCTCATCGATGTGCCAAGCATTTTTATGTGTCTTCGGATTTTTCAAATGTAAAAATTAACTTAAAATAAAGCACTACGTAATTGAGAGTGTTATGTGTAACTACGGTCCTGGCATGGAGAAATGTGCTATTTTTGTGCTTACAGTTGGCAGTTCAGTTGAGACTGTCGAATTTCATGGACAGAAGGAGAGCTCGAGCCCACCAGCTGACAGTGAAAAACAAAGCCAACTCCAGTTTAGGTATCTGATACAAAAGAACACATTTTTGTAAGATTTCTGTTAGTAAAATTTCTTCTTTGAAGACTGATACTTATAGTCTGTATTACCTTTTGCTGTGTCAGCATGGAGTCAGACTTACCAGCACAGATTGCGCCTGTGACCAGTGTTTTGCCGACCCCTGGCCTTCCCGAATCCATGACAGTTGGTGAGTCGACCTAAGATAAACCCTATCATTGTCCAGAGATCTTCCTTGGGTCTTAAGCTCTTTTTAATTTTATTTTTGAAGGTTACACCTTTACAGGAACAGAGTTTATACCAATTTAAATGGATAGTTCATCCAAAAATGGTAATGGCAATTCTGTCATTTTTTTACTCGTTTATTTACCTCGTTTCAAACCTCTATGCTGTTTTTCCATGGAACACAATTTGAAGATTTTTGTATGTTCACACAGCTCTTGTTAATACAACGGCCAAGCTCTAAAAATTTTTTAAAAGTTAAATATCAGTAAGATTACTTTTTATTTGAAAAATGAATAATCAGCTAAATGTATTTGCAAGTGATCAAAAGTGAGAGTACACATTTACATGGTAACAAAACAATGCTGTTTCAAATAAATGCTGTTTTTTTTTAAACTTTCTATTCCTCAAAGATTCCTGAAAAAAGTATCAGGTTTCCACAAACATATTAAGTAGCACAACTGTTTTCAACATTGATAATAAGAAATATTTATTGAGCAGTAAATCAGCATACTAGATTTCTGAAGACTCATGTGAGTCTGAAGACTGTAATAGCTACAGAAAATTTAGCTTTGCCATCAAAGAAATACATTTCATTTTTAAATACATTAAAATAGAAAAGTTATTTTAAAATGTACATTTTTTATTTTATAATATTAATAATTTGCTGAATAATTAATATATATATAATTGCAACGTTGGTGAGAGCATAGCAAAACTTATCGACTTAAAAAAAGCCTTAAGAAGCCATATAACTTTTGTTGGAGTTTGACAGTCTGTGGTCGCTTTGAACTTTGTCCTTGTATGAATAAAAGCTGGATGATTCTTCAAAAATGATCTTCTAGTGTTCCACAAAAAAAATGGCAGCAGACTGTTTTGGAACAACATGAAGGTGAATAAGCACCGATAGAATCATTATTTTAAATATGTATAATGACAACTTTAATTTTTGAGTGAACTGTTCCTTTAAAACTACACTTTTTGTGTATTTGAGCTTCATCTAAAGCATTTAGGTCTTTGAGGATTTGGTCTGTGGACAGATGGCATCATTGAGGTAATTTGCCTTGACTACAGCTCTGTTGTCTAGTGGTTTGGTGCAGATGTGAGGCCGTTTTAATCATCATTTAAATATCGGCCATAAGACTTTGCCTTTGAAAACATGACTTTGAAACTGGAAATTATGATGGTGATCTAACAACTTACTGTTTTTGTGCTGCTGAGACATGCTATGCTTGTAGGGACAGACATCATTTTGGACTTAAATAGGATTTCTATTCTTTTGATTCACCCCTGCATACTTCCTCTTTCCAGATGAGGGCACTGTTGGTTCAGTGTGAAATATTCTCACGTTGTTCCTCTTTCTCTCTCTGTCTTTTGTCTGGACACAACTATGAGATGGGGCTGGAGGTGACTGATCCAGTTATACTTAAGCTTTCAAAAATAAAAAAGAGAAAAGATGAGAGCAAGAAATTGCAGGGTGCCCGAATCTGCTGGTGCTCTCAGACATGAGTAAAATTCAATTTCTTTCTCAGTATGCCTTAATATCCTATTAACTGCTATTTAATTATGGATACAACAAACATTACCTTTAAGGCATGAAAATGCTATATTCTACTTAGTTTTGTGTTTTATGAGCTAGGTTTTGACCTGATCATTATATTTATGTGCATTTATGTACTCCACAGACTGTTTTTTATTCAGTGCTAAAAGAATTGGGCTTTTCTAACATTATAGTTCAATATGCAGAAACCACTATAAGTCAGCCATTCTTAAAAAATCCACTTAAAATTTTTAATTCGTAATGTGCTAACCCTCAAGTATTTTCGAAACTGAATTTCTTTCTTCTGCAAAACACCATTTTTTGTCCATTCAATGGAAGTCAATCGTAACCAAAATGGTTGGGTTACCAGCAGTCTGAAAAATGTCATCTTTTAATTTCCACACAAGAAAGAAAGTCATAAAGGTTTGTAATGACATTAGGATGAGTAAATAATGACAGAATTCTCATTTTTTGGCTGGAACATTAAGTTAATTTCCCAAAACATCTTTGACGATATGGAAACATTGAAGTAATTGATTGCAATACCTTTTTGCTTGTAACGAGGGGTGTACTGATAGTATCATGCCATGATGTATCGTGGTTCAAAATGTAAAATTCATCCTGATAATGCAGAATGTCTGATTTTGCCAGTAAATTACAATAAAAGATTTGAAAATAATATTTAATATTGCAGCTTATAATAATAGAATTATATTTTAAGAATAAAACAACTTTTTTTTTTAATGTATTTAATCAATGAGTCTAACATAATTCTGTATTTTCAATAGGGTTGCAAAGGGGCAGAACATTTCTGGTAAATGTCTGGAAACTTTCCAAAAATTTCAGAAAGTTTCTGCAATTTACCGGAAATTTTCTGCATCTTTGCAACCCTAATTTCCAGCTAAGCAAAATCATGAATTTTTCTATTTTGGTGTTACCATTACCCTGTGCATTGGGCACCAGGACCAATACCAAGCCTGTTCAGGTCCACCAATTTTAGCATTTTTATGAACAGAACTTTCTGTAAACTTTATCATATGTCTTAGAAATAATAGTAATAATAATATAATAATAACAGTAATAATAGCAATAAACCCTTCCCATTTTTTTGCTTTTTGTTTAAAGTATCATTAGAGTAACCCTTTTGTGAGATCAGGATCGAATGAGATCAGTATGTGTATCGAACCGAATAATAATATGAGTGCATAGTTACACTCCTACTTGTAACACAAAGCTGCAGGTTCAATCCCTAGCAGGGGTGACCCCATTGCGCTTTTTAGTAGACACTTAATCCCAGGTTACTCCAGAGGGAATCTTCATGCAGATAATGCACCGTAAATAGCCTTTGATGAAAAGCCTGTGCTAAATGTGAACCAGTTCCAGGTGTCTCAGACTGCTGTCTGTGAACCTTGCTTTCTGGGAAGGAAGTCAAAGCTTCGCCTCCTATACTTGCCTGCTTCCACTCAGGATTACAAACATACTTGGACCACCTCATCCTGGTGTGTTTCTCCTCCTCCAGATGAGGGGCTCTGGGAGAGGGAATGGGCTCTTCCGCAAGAATTCTCCTCCAGATCCTTCTCCGGCACACACACTTCTTTGCTCCTGTGTAGCGTTACCGTGACAAGTGCATAGTGCAGTACATATTTACAAAATTCTTTGAGTGGGTGAAAAACAGCCTTATCAACAGAGTTGTTTTGTAAAATTCCCATACTGTACTTTATGTGAAACAGTGTCAAAGCAGCTTGCATACAGTCTTTATTAGAAAACCTGTACACTATGGGTGTCCCCGACTAAAGATTTACATAGTCGAATCAGAATTGTCGAATCTTGCCGATAGTGGACTGATAGTCAAATCATATGTTTGGGGGCAGGGGGTAAAATACATTTCCAAGGGTCAGGTCGTCAGACATTCGTCAGTCATAAATACTGACGTTAACACCCAGGGAAAATGTGTATCTGACGCCTCGCAGACGCAAACGGGGTAAATGTTTTTTGTTTTGATTAATAGGTAGTTAACATTGGCCGGCTGCATATCATATTGTTTATTACTTATCAGAGCTGATGAAACTGAAGATTTGCACTAAATAAAACCAAATAATCCACACATAAGATGAAATCAACGGATGCAAGAAGTATTCGATGAAGTCCGTGTGCATTAATGTTTACTCTAACTGTATAGAGATTTTCACGGAGGAAATTAACGAATATTTCACAACACTCTGAAATAATTGATTCTGATTGGTCAGTTACGACATTCAGTGGTAGGGCTAGGTGATACATTGAATGTTAGCATATTATCTCAGTAATCTTTGCTCACTATTTAAAATTAGGGAATGTTGTGAATTTCATGATAATGTGAAAGGTTTAGCTTATAAATACAGTAAGCCGGTTTCACTCCCCTTTTTGGTCTCGCGTGTATGACAAATACAGAAGCATTTGAGAGCAGCTTATAGGCAGTGCGTAATAACAGTCCTTTTAAGGCAAGTCATTTCACTCTGCGGCCATCTTTGAAATGCGTCTCGGACAGCTATTTGAGTCATTCAAGTACAGCTCCTATCTCTTTGAATAGGAAAACATCAAATTCTCCAAAACTGTTCACCGGAGCTTCTAACGGCAGCTGCAGTAATGCGATGACTTTTACCAAATGATCGACTCTTCAGAAGACAGTACTATTCCACCATATTGTGTTTTTCACTTTCTCCCATTCATAAGTAATATGATTGCAGCAACTTCGTATACCTTACAGTCTTTGGAAATGTTAGCAATAGTGCCTATTTGTATGAGCATTCTGTTAAGGGCCTCAAAGATTTCAGTTTACAATTTTTTTTTGCAGCATTGAGCACTGTTGACAATCATAGACATACAGTGGTGGCCAAAATGATTAGAACACTAGTATTTTCACCAGTTAAAAAATGGTTATAAGTCCATTATTTCTATCTTTTGCTGTAGTGTGTCAGTAGGAAATATCAGTTTACATTTCCAAACATTCATTTTGCCATTAATTGTAATAATCCAGTGAGATTTTTGTTTGCACGCGGAGTCTGACAACAGCCAATGCTCCACACAGAGATCTGATCTCATATACAGCCAATGCTCCACACAGAGATCTGATCTCATCATCATCCAGTCTGTCTGGAATGATATGAAGAAACAGAACAAACTGAGACAGACTAAATCCAGAAGAACTGTGGCAACGTCTCCAAGATGCTTCAAGAAACCTATACCTACAAAGCTACCTGAAAAACTATGCGCAAGTGCACCTAGGGCAAAAGCTGCTTTAAACGCAAAGATTGGTCCCAACAAATGTTGATTTAATTTAGTTAATAGAAGTTAATTGATAAAGAAAATCTATTTATGACATTATTTTTGACAGCATCCTCATTTTACAGCATTTTTACACAAGGGCCTAAAACTTTTAACAGTACTAT